ATAGGTACGATTGTGTAGCCATTTCTGAGACGTGGTTACAGGGAGACCAAGGTTGGGAGCTAAATATTCCAGGTTACCTGACTTATAGGAAAGATAGGTAATATGGAAAACGAGGGTGGGGGTAGTCCTGTTAATAAAGAATGAAATAAAAACAGTAGAGAGGAAGGATCATAAGTCAGAAAATCAGGATATAGAATCAGTATGGGTGGAGCTAACAACAAGGAGCAGAAAACACTAGTGGGAGTAGTTTATAGACCCACAAACAGCAGTTACAGTATTGGACAGAGTATTAATCAGGAAATTAGAGGAGCGTGCAACAAAGGTAATACAATAATAGTGGGTGATTTTAATCTTCATATGGACTGGGAAAACTAAATTGCCAAAGTAAATTAGAGGATGAGTTTATGGAATGGATTAGAGGTAGTTTTCTAGAGGAGGATGCTGAGGAACCAACCAGGGAACAGACTATCCTAGATCTCGTATTGTGTAACGAAGCAGGGCTAATCAGTAATCTTGAAGTTAAGGCTCCTCTAGGGCAGAGTGACCATAACATGATGGAATTTAGTATTAAGTTTGAGAGTGATGTTGTTAAGTCCGAAACAAAGGTCTTAAATTTAAATAAAGCCAACTTTGCAGGTATGAGGAACGATTTGGCTAAAATAGACTGGGAAAGTAGATTAAAAGATATTACGATAGACAAGCAATGGCAAATGTTCAAAGATATATTAGATAATTCTCAGCGAACGCATATTCCCTTGAGAAATAAAAATTCCACAGGAAAAGTGGCTAACTAGAGAAGTTAAGGAAAGTATAAAATTAAAAGAAGAGGCCTATAATATTGCCAAAAGAGCTGTAAACCTGAGGATATGGAGGGCTTTAGAGATCAGCAAAGGATAACCAAAAAATTGATAGAGGGAGAAAATGGAATATGAGAGTAAACTAGCTAGAGATATAAAGATAGATTGTAAGAGCTTTTACGAGTATATAAAGAGAAAGAGATTAACAAAAGTAAATATGGGTCCCTTGCAGGCAGAGACAGGAGAAATTATAATGGGGAATAAAGAAATGGCAGAGTCACTAAACAAATATTTTCCTTTTGTCTTCACGTTGGAAGATACTAAAAGCTTACCAAAAATAGTGGAGAACCAAGAGACTAATGTTAGTGAGGAACTTAAAGAAATTAATATCAGTAAAGTAATAGTATCTGAGAAATTGATGGGATTAAAAACTGATAAATCCCCTGGACCTGATGGCCTGCATCCTAGGGTTTTAAAAGAGGTGCCTGCAGAGATAGTGGATGCATTGTTTTTGATCTTCCAAAATCCCTGATTCTGGAATGGTACCCATTGATGGAAGTTCACAAATGTAACGCTGCTATTTAAGAAGTGGGAAAGAAAAAATGGGGAACTATAGACCAATTAGCCTGACATCGGTGGTAGGGAAAATTCTAAAGTCTATAATTAGGGATGTCGTCTTGGGGCACTTAGAAAGTCATAATATGATTAGGCAGAGTCAACATGGCTTTACGAAAGGGAAATTGTGTTTAACAAATCTTTTAGAGTTTTTTGAAAATGTAGCTAGCAGGTTAGATAATAATAATAATAATCGTTGCATTTGATATAGCGCTTTTCACGTCTTCTAGACGTCCCAAAGCGCTTCACAGAATATACTGTGAAGTGAATTGACTGTATATTTGTGGGTAGATGGGGGGACCCAGTGGATATAGTGTACTTGGATTTTCAGAAGGCATTCGACAAGGTGCCACGTAAAAGGTTGTTACATAAGATTAGGGCTCATGGAATTAGAGTAATATATTAGCATGGATCAAAGAGTGGTTAACAGGCAGAAAACAGAGAGTAGGAATAGACGGGTCCTTCTCAGACTGGCAGGTTGTGACTAGTGGAGTGCCACAAGGATCAGTGCTTGGGCCTCAACTGTTTACAGTCTACATCAATGACTTAGATGAGGAAATAGAGCTTAATGTATCTAAATTCATGGACGATACAAAGCTAGGTGGGAAAGTAAGCTGTGAGGAGGACACAAGGAGGATGCAAAGGGATATAGACAGGTCAAGTGAGTGGGCAAGAAGATAGCAGAAGGTGTGTAATGTGGAAAGTGTGAAGTTATTCACCTGGTAGAAAAAATAGAAAAACTGATTATTTTCTAGAGGGGAGAGACTAGATAGTGCTAGCATTCAGAGGGATTCAGAGTGTCCTTGTACACCAATCACAGAAAGATAGTATGCAGGTGCAGCAAGCTATTAAAGGTGATTATACAATTCTTAAGGGCCTTGATAGGGTAGATATTGTGAAACTGTTTCCCCTGGTTGGAGAATCTAAAACTGGGGGTCGTAGTCTCAGGATTAAAGGTCAGCCCTTTAGAACTGAGTTGAGAAAACATTTCTTCACTCAGAGGGGTAGTGAATTTATGGAATTCTGTACCACAGAAGGCTGTGGATGCTCAGTCATTGAACATATTCAAGACTGAGATCGATAGATTTTTAAAAACTAAAGGAATTAAGGGATAAGCCAGGCAAATGGAATTAGGTTAGAAGATCAGCCATGATCTTACTAAATGGTGGGGCAGGTTCAAGGGGCTGAATGGCCTACTTCTGCTCCTATTTCTTATGTTTTTATGTAACCTTGTCAAACCCTTTTATAATTTTAAAGACTTTTATTAGTTCTCCCCTTAAACGTCTCTTCTCTGGTGAAAAAAGGCCCAACCTACCCAGTCTCTCCTGATAGGAGTAACCGCCAACCCTGGTATCAACCTCAGAAATCTACAAGGTTTGATCTCATCTGCAAACTTTGATTTGCAGCCCCTATAGCGAATCCAAATCCTTTATGTATAAGGCCAAGCACTGGAGTGAATTATGTGGTTGCTGTAAACATTACAAATCATAGCTGTGTCAGTTTGTGGAAATGCTTGGAAATGAGATGCAAACGACACCTCTGCCCACACGGGCAGCTAACAGACATAAGGGGACTATATTTATTCTAGTTTCTTTTGAAACATTTTTGATTATGCAAAATTTGGCAATATTTTGGATTCTACTTAACTGTGTTGCATATTTTGTAAAAACCTACAGAAAACCCACTTCAAAATTAAGACTGTATTTAAAAATGTGCCAAATTGTGGATGTCTGAAATGTTGCATAAACTGCATAAATCTAGAGCAGATGGAAATTTTCCCCCTTAATGCAGCATTGCAAACATAATCTGAAACCCCAAATCCCATCTAAATTTGGCCTTTTAAAACTGCAAGATCATAGTCTTAATTTGGAATTATATTTGGTTCAAATTAACTTAATCCATATTGTTGTGCAAATGTTGCCCAGCCAGTAAGTATTTTAGGGTTATAAAACATGTAAAAAATGTTTACAGATTCATATACTGATTTGTTTTGGATTTGTTTTAATACAATGTTGCAGTTGTAGCAAATAAGATGAGTTGAAATTTATCCAATGTGTATCTAGGTTTTGCAACAAAATGCAAGATAACCAATGCCACAACAATAATAATCCTTTCATCTCAGGATGAGGTCTCCAAATGCTTAAGTTACTGTGAAGTGGAATGACTGGTTATTTTGTAGGCAAAACGCAGCAGCCAATTGATTAACCAATTTTATTTGAAGGTTTGTTTGCTAGAACACCAGGAAAAACTCTCTTCTCTTTTCAAATAGTGTCATGGGATCTTTAACGTCCACCTGAACAGGCAGATGGGATCTCAATTTAAGTGTCAGCCTGAAGTATATGAATTCAACAACAATAAAATTATATTTGTATCGCGCCTTTCATATTGGGAGGGCGTCCCAAGGCGCTGAACATTCAGTGCTATGGACCCGACCTGAGAGTTGGGATTGGGGGGTGGGGGAAAGGAGGGTGACCAAAGGCACGATCGAAGAGGATCTTGAGACCGATCTTGAAGGAGGCAAGGGAGGGGGCGAGGTGGAGGGACTGGGGGATGGAGTTCCAGAGGGTGGGGGTACAGTGGCTGAAAGCCCGCTGCCAATGGAGTAACGGGCGAGACCGGGGACATGAAGCAGGCCGGAGGCCGTTTAGCAGAGGGAATGGGCAGGTTGGTAGGGAGTTAGGAGGCGCAGAGGTAAGTAATGCCATGGAGGGCTTTGAAAGTGAGGACCAGGATCTTGAACTGTATCCTCTGTGTGATGGGAAGCCAGTAGAGTCGGGCGAGGATGGGAGTGATGGGGTCGCGGAGCCAATTGCAGGAGAGGACACGGGATGCAGAATTCTGGATGATCTGCAGCCTATGGAAGGAGGAGGCGGGGAGGCCGACAGCAAGGAGATTGCATAATCGAGCCTGGATGTTATGAAACCGTGTATGAGGGTCTCGGCGGCCTGAGACAGTGGCGGAGCCGGGCGATGTTGCAGAGGTAAGGAACGGCAGAGCAGGTCATGGTATGGATTGGGGTAGAAAGGTCATTTGAGGGTTAAACAAGACCCCAAGATTCCAGACGGGCTCAGTGAGGTGGAGTGTGCATCCATGGATGGTGATGCTGATGGCGCCTGAGGTGTGGAGGTGCTGACGGGAGCCAATCAGGAGAGCCTCCGTCTTGTTGATGTTCAGCTGTAGAATATTAGCTCTCATTCAGGACTTGGTGTCTGACAGACATTCTGTCAGTACAGCAGTGGGTCTGGAGTCGAGGGTGGAGGCAGAGAGGTAGAGTTGGGTGTCATCAACATACATGTTGACCCCATGTCTGCGCATGATGTCACCAAGAGGGAGCCCATAGATATTGAAGAGGAGGGGACCAAGGCGAGAGCTCTGAGGAACACCGCACAAGACGGTGTGGGGACTAGAGGAGAAGCCATTTGTGGAGATAAAGTCGACGGTGTGAGAAGTAGGATCTGAACCATTCAAGAACAGAACCATGAAGGTTGAGGTCCTGATGTGGAGCTTGTACTTACAACCTTCTGATTCAGTGGTGAGAGTGCTACACACTGAGCCAGGCAAACTTACAAAATGCCCCACACAAAATGCTACCAATAATACAAGAGTTTAATGAGTTCTACAAAGAAAACAGCAGTTTATCTTAACGTTGAGGTGAAGGTGTTGCATTCTCATACTCATTTCTCCGCTCAGATGAAAAACTTTGGCATCAACATTAACAGATCCCAAAGAAAACATTCAAATTAAATTGTACTTGTTCATACACTTGTGTGTTAATATGGATCAAAACTATTAAAAACGTTATTTACACAGGTTTGTTGAAATCAATTAACATACGAAGCAATGTGTTGAAATAAAATTCAATCTCACTGAAGCCCGAAGTTATATCGAATTGAAAATCTCAAATCGGCGGAGGAAATCAGATGAACAAATGAAATTTCATTCCAATTGTAATATTTTTTAATATAGCGAAAGCATTTTTAAACATTTTCCATTTAGTTGTAACAAACATTTCAGGTCGATAATCCTTCATCAGAACAGTTCTGACGAAAGGTCATCGACCTGAAACATTAACTGATTTTCCTGTCTCTACAGATGCTGCGTGAGTTGCTGAGTGTTCCCAGCAACTTCTGTTTTTATTTCAGATTTCCAGCATCTGCACTATTTTGCTTTAATTCTAACAAATGTTGGTATACAGTTGTTAACTTTGGTATGTAATAATTTTGTATTTTTTTTTAATTGGTTCATTCTTCATACCTCATTTCAAGCAAACATATTTCCACTACTATATAAACCTACAAAGTAGTCTGGGAAAATTCCAAGCAGCATAACAATCACAGTATTTAGTAAACTCTTCTTCAAAATATTTTTTTCTATGTTAGAATTTTTTCTTAAAGTTTAAAGGACACCAAAGTCCCTTGAAGTTGGTCATTGACTAGTTTGGTTCGCAAGAGACCCAAGTTCAGGACTGCCACTCGGCCCCATTTCCTGCCCCCACCCCCAGCTTCCCCTATCCACTCCCCCCACCCCGCTACCACCATCACTTGAAGCCTTCTGCTGCTGCGTTGCAGAAAAAAACCTTGTGTGAGTTTTTTGCTCCACAAAGAGGAGCCCAGATTCTCTCACTTACTGTAAGCTGCATGAAACAATGGATTCTTACAATCTCTATGTAAAAAGATACTCTGCTCTCACAAGAATAATCTGGTAAAAACAAATTTGGTAAGAAGATAACGTATGCATCTCACCCTGAAAATGGACGTCAGCAATCCCACTAAACCACTTTACTATAAAGTTTTATTTGTTCACAGTTTGAGCACTAAGGTAAAGTACTAGCAGGCAGTAAGGTATGGGTTTGCCTTTCTCCACAGCGTGTGGAGTAGGTAGGGGTTCAGGGGTGAGGAATAGAAGCAGAACTTCCATGAAGGATGGACACCTCTTGCTGCTGTCACACCTCTCCCAGTGAGCAGTCGGTGTGTAAGCAAACTCCAGGTTCAAGTCACCTACTTACCCTCTAGACCAGGGCTTATGTGTGGATACCATAAGAAGCAAGTCTGTTTCTTCTGTCTGGACTCGATGTGAACCCAGATCTCAGAAGTAACAGCATGAAGCAAACACATGGCAACGCCCTTCTGTAACATCCACTTTATAGCTAATTTAAAAGGATCTATCACAAAAAAAAAGTGTCTCACATGTTAAAGAAAATGTCACCACAGTTCAAGAGGCTAAAGAATAAAGACAAACTTTAGCTATGTAACTGTAACAGAATTTAATTTGACACAATCTCAAAAGAAAACCTCTACTCCAATTCACTCATTTTAAGGAGGTTTAGCACCAATTTTGATGGCATTACGAATCAGATGTTGACAGAGTTTTTATATAATTAAGCACAAGATACGATCAGTGAAGCAAAGAAACTGTGGTGACAGGTGAAGTTGAGACTCTTAAATGTGCCACATATTGTATTTCCTCATTCCCCACCTCCAGCTTTTGGATACTTCCTCACGTCAGTAGTCTGTAAAGCCAGGAATCCACAATGACCTTCTAAATGCTACCAATTGTCTCTCAAATTCTCTGTAGAAGAATGGTCCGACAGTAATTAGCGAAAATTAGGCAAATGGTGTTCAAACCTTTCCCTCACTCCTTTGCAGACGTATCTCCAGTACTTTCAAACCACGAGTTCAACTCTTGAAATTGGACTATCAAATGGCACAGCACAAAGCGACAGATGAGAACTGCAAAAGTATTCTTTTTCAATTGGTACCTTAGAGAATTCCTATATTTTACTTTTTTTTAAAAAAATTATTTTAAAGCTCGTCTATCCTCTGAGATAAACTTATATAATAATGCCAAATACATGATAAACCCCTTTAAAGGTTATCTCAGTTATTTATACCGATGGCTAAGAGACTCGTCCATTTTTTTTATTCTCAGCCTTTCCCTGTAGCTTTGACTTCCTCCTGTCTGGCCGCCGGCACCTCTCGTCGATGCTCGGGATGCACTCCAGGTGCCAGACCTGGTCGCTCCTGGCTCGAGGATAAACCGCTTCCACGTAGTGTCGAATCAGCCGGAGCCGGACGGGATCCAGCTGCTTCTTGTTACACGCCCCTGAGTGGTTGTACTGCAGCCGGAGATTTTCAGAAGTGAACAGTTCGGGAAAGATCCTGACGAGAAGCCGTGCCGCAAAGTTGCCGATGGACAAGCTGTCCTGCACGATCTCCTTCAGCTCCTTGGTGGTCAGGAGGTGTTTGGACGGAACCGGGAAATTGAGCTGGGGGATGGTCACGTTGCTGAGTTCCAGCTTGCTGAAGTTCTTGTTATACCGGTCGGCCTTTTCCGTCGCGAGCAGCACCAGCTCCTTTTTGGGGAGCTCGGGCTGTAAGTTTGAGGTTGTGGGCTCCTCCCTGTCCGTGCTGACCGTGCACTTCTTCCTCTGCTGCTGATACACACGCCTCTGCTCCGTGTCCCTGCGCCGGCACCGCTCGTCCAGTTTGGACACAAACTCCTGATTCCACACCTTGTCACACTTGGCCCTGGAGTACATCAGCTGCACGTAGTGCCGGATCAGCTTTAACCGCACCGGATCGAGCGGCTTCTTGCCCAGTGAGCCGCTGCAGTTGTATTGCTTCCTCAGGTTTTCCGTAGTGAAGAGCTCCGGGAACAGCTTCACCAGCAGCCGGGAGGCAAAGTTCCCGATGGACAGGCTGCTCTCGTAAATGTTCTTGAGCTGGTGTTTACCCAGCACGTGCTCGGGGCAAGGCACTTCGAAGTCCGGGGGGGTGATCATGACGCAGTTGAAATCCACGGGGATGAGCCAGATCTTCTTGGACTTCCTCGTCGACTTGTCCAGGTCGGCGCCATCGTTACTCCCGAGCGCGGAGGAGGCGTTGGAGGAGGAGCAATAGCTGTCGCCAGGAAATGCCTCGGTCTCGCTACCGTCCAGCCCGATGCTGGCCAGCTCCTCGTCCAGCGTGTGGACGCACTGCTGGAGCCAGGCCTCGTCAGCTTGCACCTCCGGGAAGTAGATCTCCGTGTACTTGCGGATCAACTGCAGCCTCTGGGTATCAAGCGCCTGCTTCTCATTGGCCCCGTAGCAGGTGTGTTGGGCCGCCAGCCGCCTCAGGTCGAAGAGCTCCGGGAACAGCCTGTGGAGCAGTAGCACCGAGAACTCCCCGGGAGACCCGGCCTCCTCCAGGTACTCGCCGATCTCCTGGATGTCCGGCACCAGGTCCGAGGCCACGCTGCTGGAGGAGTCCAGCCCCTCGTCCTGTGCGCTCTCGTCCACGTAGTTCCGCTCTGCCACACGTTCAGCTTCATAAAAGTTGCCTGCTTCGACGTTCTGGTGGCTGTTCTCCATCTCCTTCTGGGCCCAGAACCTGTTGAAGAGGTCGCTGATCTGGGGCAAGCACTCGACCTGCCAGAGCCCGCTGCTCTTGGCCGCAGGGTAACACACCTCCACATAGTTACGCAGCAGCTGCAGGTGCAGCGAATCCAACTTCCTCTTGGACACCGAGCCACAGGCTTGACAGCCACCTCCCACCTCATCCTCAGTGAAGAGTTCTGGGAAGAGCTGCACCAGGAGCCGGCAGGCAAAGTCCCCGGCCGAGGAGCTCTGCTCCAGCACCTGCTTCAGCTCCGCATTGTTCAGCTGGTACTCGGGGGGCGGCAGGAACTCTACCACAGACTCCCCGGGATTCACGTGCTTCTTGACCCGGCTCACCTCCAGTGACAGGAGGTCGATCTTGCTGTGCAGCTGCATCATGCTGGAGTTCAGGGTGTTCAGGGTGAAGAGCATCTTGTGGATCAGCGAGTAGAGAGTGGGATCGCTGCCAGAGGCATGAGACACCAGAACGCCTGAGTAATTCTTGGGGCTGTCTCGCTGCTGAAAGAAATTGTTGACGTAGCTTCTCTCAGGACCCTCGAGTGGCCCCGGCTGATCGGCAGCCTGGACACTTCTCCGGTCCGATATCTTGTGAGAGATACCATACAGTGGCTTCCGGTACGAGGGCACCATCCTCTCCTCGGCCAGCTCCTTGCCTTCCACTGCCAAACCCACGCTGCCGTCCTCAGCTCTGCCAGCACACTCTGCGTTTCTCTGAAAAGATACTACAGAGTCTATGTTCTTCAGACTTACAAACACACCCATAAAATGTTAAAACATGCACACTTTCAATGCAGGAGATGCATCTTAATAATGCAACGAAAGATTATTAAGTTAAGTTAGTTTGCTAAATTTGCTTTAAAATGTAATGTCCCCATCCTAGGACATGTATGCAATGGCAGAGTTATTTGGAGGAGGGGGCACTATCACACATTGATCACTAGAAGTAGCAATCCTTTGTTACCTTTATATAAAGGAAAATCTCATTGATGTGATTTAATGTACGAAAATTTCAATGAGGGAACACTGTAGCTATGTGGATATGCCTTGCTCTGACCCACTCAAACTCTGCTTAGATACCAATTTTATTTCCAATTTCTGTGCAGTTGGGCTGCTGTCAAAGCAGGCTCCTGGGATCTGGCAGGGGATCAGTGTCCAAGGCATTCCAGTGTCCTGGCTCTTCCCACATCCAGGTGCCTGCTGGACTCACTAATGACATATCAGTTTGCATACCCTGCACGTTACTTCCCCCCAAAACACAATCAAAACAATTGCTGCTTTTATCCGATGGCACATGACAGATTGTAGTCAGAGAAATGTGACAAGCAGCGTGTGGCTGAAGACTGATATCCTGGAAAAGAGAAGGAAAGTGATGGAATGGGTCTCAGCCAGGAAAAGACCCCGCGGGAGGCTAAAGCAATGGGACTGTGTGTGAGAAGAGCTGAACACAAATTGAAACAAGAAACAACAGATAGACGAGCTGCCGGAGGCAAGAGTGGTAATTACGTCCAGCCGAGTTACAATGACCGACAGAAAAAAACCAAATTCTGATGAAGAGCGGGTTTCTCTCAATTCACAGCAAAGAATATTATGTGCTAAAGCCTGTTCATTTGTGACTGCACCAATCTTAAATATCTTTCTGAATTAGTTTCATCCTTTTCTTTAATCGATCTCAACACCGCCATTTACATTGCCTGAGTCAGTGTCTCACATCAAAGAAGCTGTCATACCTCCCCGTCTAGCCCACCTCTCGCAACCACCCACTCGCTGCACTCACTCTTCTCCACAGCACCCTCTCCACCACACTCGACGTCCTTGTCCCCCTCACCTCCCGAACTGCCTCCTATTCCCGATCCTCACCCTGGTTCACCAGCCACCTCCGCTTGCTTAAGGGCCAGGTGCGGTCTGCCGAACGCACTTGGCTCAAATTCGGTCTAATGGTCCACCAACACATTTGGCTGTACCTCATCAAGAACTACCGCTCCACTCTCGCCTCAGCCAAATCATCCTTCTACTCCAGGTTAATCCTGGAGGCAAAGGGCAACCCCAGGCTCCTGTTCTCCACCACCAACCGGCTCCTCTGCCCTCCCTGACACACCTCGCAGATACTTTCCTCTGACTCTCACTGCGAGAAAATGCTGGACTTCCTCGAGTCCAAAATTGAGGGAATCCTCTCAGCTGCCACTGCCCTCCCAACTTCCACTAACCTCTCCCTGTCATCTGGCACTGTTCCTTCCCCCCTCAAAACAGCCACTATCACCCCCACCCCCACTTTGAAGAAACCTTCCCTCGACCCATCACAGCTATCCAGCTACCGGCCCATCTCAAGTCTTCCCTTCCTATCCAAGGTCCTTGAGAGAGCCGTTGCCTCCCAGCTTCGCTCTTTCCTCTCCTCTCACTCCCTCCAGGAACCCCTCCAATTGGGTTTCCGTGCTGCCCACAGCACAAAAACAGATCTGGTCAAGGTCACAAACAACATCCTGACCATGTGTGACCAGGGCTCCCTCTGCCTCCTCGTCCTCCTCGACCTCTCCGCTGCCTTTAATACCATAGCCTACTCAATCCTCCTCCACCGCCTCTCCTCCCACCTCAACCTTCAAGGTTCTGTCCTTGACTGGTTCAGGTCCTCCCTTTCACACTGCCTCCACTTCATCGCGGCAAACGGCTTCTCCTCCAGCCCCTGCACTGTCTCGTCCGGTGTTCCTCAGGGCTCTGTCCTCAGTCCCCTCCTCTTCACCCTCTACATGCACTGCCTTGGTGACATCATCCGCAGACATGGGATAAGCTTCCACATGTATGCGGATGACACCCAACTCAAACTCTCTGCCTCCACCCTCAACTCCAGGACTAATGGTGTCCTGACCGACTGCCTGTACGACATCAAGTCCTGGACGAGGGCCAACTTTCTCCAACTCAATGTCAGCAAGACCGAGGCCCTCCTGATTGGCTCGTGCCAGTGCCTCCGCAGCTCAGGTGCTGGCAGCATCAGCCTCCACGACTGCACACTCAACCTCACTAAGCCGGTCAGGAACCTGGGTGACTTGTTTGACCCTGAACTGTCCTTTCTCCCCCACATCCGCGCCATGACTGGCACTGCCTACCACCATCTCCGCAATATTGCCAGACTCCACCACTGCCTCACCCCTCAGGCTGCCCAAACCCTCACCCATGCATTTGTCACCTCAAGACTTGATTACGGGAACTCCCTCCTCATCGGCCTTCCCAACTCTTCACTGCACAAGCTGCAAGTCATCCAAAACTCTACAGCTTGTGTACTCTCACGCACCAGGCTCCGTGACCCCATCACTCCCACCCTCGCCCGACTCCACTGGCTCCCCATCCCCCAGAGGATCGAGTTCAAGATCCTCATCCTCATCTTTAAGGCCATCCATGGCCTTGCCCCCTCCTACCTCTCTGACCTGCTGACTCCCTACCAACCTGCTCGCTCCCTCTGTTCATCAGGCTCCAGCCTGCTCCATGTCTCCCACCGACCCGCCCTACCATCGGTGGCCGGGCTTTCAGCCTCTCTGCCCCCACACTCTGTAACTCCACCTCACGATCCCTTCACCTCGCTTCCTCCCTTGCCTCCTTCAAGGCTGATCTCAAGGCCCTTCTCTTTGACCGTGCCTTTGGTCTCCCTCCCACCTCTCTGCCTTCCCTCACCCCTACACCACTCCTCCCCCATGCTCGGGCCCCAACACCTGACTGTTCAGTGCTTTGGGACGTCCTCCCAACATGCAAGGCGCTCTATAAATGTAATTTTGTTGTTGTTGTTGTTGTGTACAAGCAGACTTCAAACACTGTACATGGAAATTAAACAAGCAAGCCCAGGATCATCAGAGAGAGAGAGGGGGGGAAAGAATCTCCCAATTGCTCTACAAGCATTGATCCGTGCATATAATTGCCAGTTTTCCATATTCTGAATCAGGTCAATAGACGGAACCCATTCCGGCTTCTCCTGCTGTATAAATTTGAGTGCACAAGCTTCATCCCTGTGCCCCAACTTCATATGAAGAGTCCTTGTATCCTTTTTGGGTCTACAAATAGATGCTGCACAGAAGCATGACTTGCCTGTATGCACCAGATATGGGTTCCACATTGTGCTCCCACAATTATGGTCATTAGGTACACTGGCCTTCAATAAACTGACACAATCAATTTCATAAAAAAACAAAAATCACTGGGAACACCCAGCAGGTCAGGCAGCATCTATGAAGAAAGGAAAGTAAGTCAACGTTTCGGGTCCACGACCCTTCATCAGAACTAGGGCATGTTGGGAGAGGCTTTTAAAGACCAACAGAGAGGGGGGAGGCAGGACAAGGAAGACAAATGAGAAAATGGGGTAGAGGACAGAGGATGATGGGTTAAAGAGCTGTTAATGATGCAAAACAAAGGGGGGCAATCCAACGAAACTGGGGAAAAGAGATATTAATAATGCAAAACAAAGGGAGGGAAATTCCAACAAAGGGTGGGGGGGGGGGAATTCCTTCCTCTCCTTTGTTTTGCAATATTAACACCTCTTTTGTGTGACTTTTCTCAACATTTGGTGGCTACTAGTGGCAATTGAAAAAAAATGATGGGTGTCTATCACATGCCGATTGCTACAGCTGTATCATAAGAACATAAGAACTGCTAGACGAAAAAAGACCAAGGTCCATCTTGTTCGCCTTCCAGGTCGCATGCACATATGTCCCAAACTACCTATGTATCCCATAATGTTATTTCCTAAAATAAAACTATCTAACCTGTGTTTAAAAGAATCAACACTTTCTATTTCAACTATCTTCCTAGGGAGTCCTGTAGCTCAGTGGTTAGAGCACTCGCTTTGCAAGTGAGAGACCTGAGTTCAATTCCAGGCAGGGCGAAACCTTGGGCAAGTTTCCTTACTCCACACGCCTATTATAATCCCTCCAAAACCAAAAACAATAATAAATTGGTCATTTTCAATCTACGGCTGTTTGTGGGACACTGCTGTGCGCAATTGGCTGCCGCGTTCACCCACAAATATACAGTCAATTCATTTTACAGTGTGCTCTGTGAAGCGCTTTGGGACGTCCTCCCGACATGAAAAGCGCCATATCAAATGCAAGGATTATTATTATTATTATTATTATTATTATTATTATTATAGGGAGTCTGTGCCACAGGATGACTATTCACTCACTGAAATAGTGTTTGTGTAGATTTGTTCTGAATTTACCCCACTTCAATTGCAGACTGTGTCCTCTGGTTTTACTATTCTGGACAAGTTGAAATAGCCTGTCTATATTATCTTGCCCCTTTAGAATCTTAAAGGCAGCAATCATGTCGCCTCTCAATCTCCTTTTTCAGCATGAAAATGCCCAATTTACTTAGTCGCTCTTCATAGTCCAGTCCTCTTCCATTCCCTCAATCATTTTGGTTGCCCTCGTCTGTATCTTCTCGATTTCTCCAATATCCTTTTCGTACTACGGTGACCAGAACTGTACACAGTACTATAAGTATGGTCTCACCAATGGTTTATACAGTGGCAGGATTACCTCACTATTTCGGCTTGCTATTGATCTTTTGATACATCCCAACATCTGCTTTGCCATAGAGCATTGTTAGGAGAGCTTCAATTTATTGTCAATCAGGACCCCCAGGTCCTTTACATTTTCCATATATATTATTTTCCTTCCGTTCAAATAACAGTCCCTTCCAGGATTTTTTGTCCCCATGTGAAGTACTTTACATTTCTCCACATTGAATTTCATCTGCCACCGATCTGCCCAATTCCCAAGTATGTTCAAATCCTCCTGTAACCTATCTTGGTCAGCTTCGCAATCTACCACCTTCATTAGCTTGGTGTCATTTGCAAATTTAGCCACTGTGCTTGCGATTCCTAGTTCCAGATTATTTATAAAAATATTAAAACAAAAGAGGTCCCAAAACAGACCCTTGTCGAACTCCACTGGTAGCATCTTCCCAGTCTGATGACATTCCCTGCTTCACCACCCTCTGGGTTCTTCCAGTCAACCAATTGTGTATCCATTGTAATATATTTCCACTGATGCCCGCTTTCTTTACTTTCAGTACCAGCCTCTCAAGAGGAACTGTATCAAAGGCCTTACTGAAATCCAGATATACAACATCCACAGCCTTACTCTTATCAAGCTCCCTTGTCACACCTTCAAAGAAAACCAGTAAATTAGATTGGCAAGACCTCCCCTTCATAAACCCATATTGGCTATCATATCCAGTGCATATAGACAAGCCCTGTTCCTTTATTGATTTATTTGATTCAAAGTAAGCAAGTATTTATGCAGTTTACTCCGTTTTTTAAAAAATACAATATGTTGGTGAAGAAGGCAAGGAGTTTGTCCATATAACAATAAAATAATAAAAATAATCCATGCATTTGATATACAATGTCAAACCATTTCAAAGTGCTTCAGGGTAGTTGCTGTAAGGTGTATTGATTGCTTATTTGTAGAACAAAGCGGCAAACAATTTGTGCATAGCAATATCCCACAAACAGTGAATTACCAATTTATGAGGAACATTGATTACCAAGACAATGAGAGAAACTCCCTTCTTCATTTGAAATGTGTCATGGGATCTTTAACGTTCATCTGAACAGAAAGACGGGAGCTCAGTTTAATGTCTCATCCCTGACAATGCAGCACTTTCTCAGCACTGCACAGGGGTGTCAGCCTAAGCAGTGAGCTCGCATCATATCATTTGATTTTACTAAGATACTTCAGATGATAATTGATAATGATAAACTCTGAATTCTGTTTCAGCGGGAGGGGAGGGGAAGAAAAATTAGTCCCATCCCGACTAATGAAATGAAAGTCTCATCTCTTTGTCAGTTTCAATCTCATGCCAATCTCAAAATGAGTATAGAGCCTACACCCAATACTGCTCATGACTCTTGTTCAGAAAGGTGACTGGTGCAAGAAGTGGAACAATTCATGCTAATGCAGTAGGCAATGTTAATATCCGATTAGGTCTAAGGCATTTTTTTCGGGGCAAAGCAAAGGGAACTTTACCCTACAGATGGCTGTGCTCCACCTAACATAGCAATGGTAGATGAGGACACTGGGTCTCATTTCCAAGCACTGATATCCCTTTTTTTAATCAATATAGAAACATAAATATTTACAAATGAATTACAGTACGTCTCAGAAATAGACACTGAAGAAATTTTGTTTCTGCAAATTAAATATAAAGTGTTTGGACACTTGAAAGCTTTCTTTCAAGGTGAAAGAAAAGGCCCCTTTTATGTTGTACTTATCTGAAAATAGCACCTTTGTGTACACTTAGGAAGGAAGGTTTGTTTTACAAACTCACCACAAGGTGGCTGACCTTCTGAGTGGAGCCGCCATCTTCCCGCCATTTGAGGCTAGGTGGAGAAACGGGACAATTTTTCCTGTGCCTCAGCTCCCTGCAACCCCTGCTGCTCATTGGAAGCAATTGGGAGAAAGAGGGAGACATGATCTAAGGTTTTAAAAATGATGATGGGAATCACAAAGTGGATGTGGAGACGTCAGCACAGGAGAGGCAGAGGACACGGTAATATGCTAGAAGTCAGGGGTTCAAGTGACGGAATCATTTCTAGACTTGTATGGAATAGGCTGCAAGGTCATGCAGGCACAAATAATCCCAATGAAGGATCCAAAAGGGAACTGGGTCAACTCCTCACGCAGCAGAGAGAATAGGGTTTGGAGTTGGCTTAGGGCGAGAAAGTTATTGAAATTCCTCTAGATGTGTCCTGGATAATGGTCTGAACATACATTTCAATGTTCTTTTGTTTCTATAATTTGCTTGGAAACAAATGAGATACAAGGGTGCTATTTTTAGATAAATAAATTGAAAACAACGCTGTTATATATATTTGTTATTAAATGAGGGCATTAAGGAACATGGAGAAAATGTGGAGAAATGAGATTAAAAGATCTGCCATCCTCTTCCTCCTATGTTCCCAAGTACTCTAACACACAGTACACCACTCAAGTGACATCCTCTTTCAAGTTCCTTAGCATAAAATTAAAAATGCAGAACTGTTTTCTTTGTAACGCAGGATACCAAAGCATTGTTCCAAGATGAGCGAACTTTACAATTTTAAACACTGTGAGCAGTATTTACCTCAGAGGCAATTCTTCTTCTTTTGTGGTTGAAGGAACCCTCGTGCTCTGTTGTCATGTCGCCGGAACCATTCTGCACCGGCTTTCGTTTAGCTACATCCTGTATGCTGGTGTACAGTAATTCTAACCCGCTCGTCTCTGCAGGTCTAGCTGGACTGGGAATGTCTTTAGAGTCCTCTTGGATATTTATTTCTTCTTTGACCTTATCAATAATAACTTCCATCACTGAAAGGGAAAGAACAAAACATCAAATCCAATTTTTCAAGAAAAAACCACCATCATGCCATACGATTTCTCAGTTGCATTCATTACTGCACTGAGGTTTCCATCTGCTCTTTACATCTTCCTATGAAGAAAACGATGGCTGACTTTTACAATAAATCTAAATTTATTACATTACGGTAGATAAAGCAGAAATAATTCAGAAGAGTTCTCAGTGCATTAAATATTTACTACAACTAAAAGTTATGCCCTGGTCCCTTGGTGACCAATATGTTTAGGAGATTGACAGACTTGGATAGTAGAGGTATTAAGAGATATGAGGGAGAAAGGACAATCTGCCAAAATGTAACAAACTGGTGGAACAGGCTCAATGGTCTGAATAGCCTCCTGTTCCTGTGATCCTATGTTTCTAAAGTGTATTTTTGTATTATTGGAAGGAACTCTTGATTTCTACAAAATCCCAGTTTTTGTAGATAGATATTATTTCACTTTACAATATATTGTATGAAGCACTCAACAACGTTATAAGACGCCATATCAAATGCAAGAATTATTATTATACCTGTTGGAAATGTTGTCTACTCAAGATTCTGAAAAGCTTATGTTAAACTGAGAAGCCAGGTGCCAAGGCCTTTTCTAATGGCTCAATGGGAAATTGCACCACCCTGGACCTTTATTCAGGGTTCCTGCTCCTATTTGCTCTCTATAGGTCCTTGCTGGAGGTACACTTTTGTGGATAGAAGATGAAGACAAGACAAGCTTGGCTGTGATGGCCCTCGTTCAAAGTTCCCAATGCAACGTCACAGTTTGGGCTCACACATTAATAATAATAATCTTAGCATTTGATATACCGCTTTATCACATCTTCGAGACGTCCCGAAGCACTTCACAGAATATACTGTAAAGTGAATTGACTGTGCATTTTATGGTCAAAACGCCGCAGCCAATTGCGCACAGCAGTGTCCCACAGGCAGTCATGGATTGAATGACCATATTATTATTATTTTTTTTGGAAGGAATTATTATCCTCGGAAAAGCAATCCACCAGTCAACTAAAAACTGGGTTCCTACTTACTGCTAGGAAAAACAGGCATGTGGAGTAAGAAAACTTGCCCAATGTTTTGCCCTGCTGGGAATCAAAGCCAGATCCTCTCACTTGCAAAGCAAGTGTTCTAACCACTGAGCTACAGGACTCGATCTGAACAAGATCTGAAAGGGTTGCCCTTACTGTACCCCAGGATGAGTGTACAGAGCTGCCTTCAGGACAGAAGGGTGAAAAACCTAGGAAAATTACTAAAACACAGTAAACTTTTCAGTTAACTACAAAAAATACATTCAAGTGACTGCAAACATCGAATATCCTCTCCTTTGCAATGTCAAGAGAGATACCCCAAATCAATCGTTTTTAACCTTGGAGGTTGAACTGATAGCTAGGTGTGTGCACTAAACAGACATTCAAGGCTGCTTCTGTGTAAATTTATAGTCATGACATTCAGTCTTCCCAAATGTCTCAAATTCCTCCTTGTAGATCATGGATCTGGTGCTGGCTGACATCCAGTGAGATAACCTTACCTTGCAGCCAAGATTGCAATGAGCAAAAAATACTTAGTGAACAAAGTATCTCTAGTCCTGTTTGCTATTGGAAATCATGCAGGTTTTTAGGAATGCTGGGTACAAAAGTGTGACTAAAGCGCTGGCCAGTCTAGCAATCAATGGGACAAACAATTTTAGTGCAGAAAACAATAGAAGTTATCAGTTCTCACTTATATCACTAATAAGATACAGTTTGTGCTGCAAAATCTAAGACACTGACATAAACCTTGCCCTCATGTTGTTCATGTGCATTTGTTGTTAAATAAGCTTACATCACTGAGATTATCTGAAACTTTTGAGTTTCCTTTGATTTGACCCACGTGTCTATAATAGGTACAAGGCTTCCACTTTAACACAACAGTATTTCTGGAGATTCAATAGAATAAGATTTTATTAAATCTAAAAGCTCCAAATATTTAAAAGTGATATTCAGGTCTTTACCATGTATTTCCCCTTCCATGTGTTTTTTCCTATCCAGAGTGGAGTTATTAATGATGAATGGTGTTCTGGACTCAGCTTCGTCATTTTGATCTCCAGTGTTCATTGTCTACCTACAGTTAAAAGTAAATAAGTAAAGTAAATTGAACAAACAAGTACAATGCAATACATTCAAACAGCGATTTGAAAGAAGTTTCCCCAGAATTTTGCCTAATTTTGCCTGGGGTTTAAGGGAATAATCTGTACCCGAGATCTTAATCTATTGAGGTGATGGAGACAAAAGGCTGAGCTGAATCCAATCTTATTCACTTTTATATTTAAAAAATCTTGTCAGAATAAAGACGTTTTCTTCTTTTTTCAACTAGCATTGAAAAATGACAGGTTTCTGTTCACAAAAAATATCTTTAAAGCATGTTAAAATAATCCTTCCATTCGACAAAGCTCCCTATCATATCAAAATGTCTCAAAGCGCTTCACAAGTTTTGTATAAAAGTTTATTGGCTGCTTTGCACAGCAGCCAATTTGCACAGCAATATAATGTCTCACAAATAACCATTTGTTTTCTCTCAAGGGGACTGGTGACACAAAGTGTGGGGGGTTGGGGGGGTGGGGGCTTCTTCCATGAAACTGCCTTCCTTTGTTATGAATGTTGAGAGGTGTTGTGTAAGCAAATTGCTCAAAACGCATAGAAAAACACAATCATATCATAAAAGTATAACTTTGCAGCAAAAATTAAACCAGCAAGAGAGGGGACGCTGTGAGGAGGTGAGGTCCAATTGCTTCTCACCATTTTTTTTCGGTCAACGTTTTGAAACAAGTATAAAAACTGCGGGATAGAAAAGGAAAGTTTTTTTTAAAAAAAAAGTCACACAAGCTGACTACTGAGCAGAAATAATAAACATTACCACTTCCACATCACAGCGTGACTTGGAAAGGTGTTTGCAATGAAGTGCAATCAATGCAACTCGCAGATTCAAGCGGATCTGTGAAAGAGAGAAGCTCTGGTCAACTGGAGTGCAGTCAAACCAATCCCAATCTATTTTAAGGCAGTGAGTGTTTTTCCTCTCCCCCTCTCTCTCTCTCTCTGTGTGTCTCACGTTTCTCTGGTCTCACTGACTGGGCTCCTGCGGAGGCGCTGTGACTCCACACACACTCACTCACTCACTCACACCACACACTCACACTCAGAGGAAGAACTCGCCAAAGCCCCACTCCACTTCCTCATTGCACTCATTAATACCCCTCTGAACATGAAAGAGGAGGAGGTGAGGTCGAGGGGGAGAGGGAGGGAGGGAGAGAGGGAGGGAGAGAGATGACATGACTCGGGAGCCCGCGGTTGGGTGAGGGAGGGAGAGGGACCCCACATATATAACTATTAAAGAGATTAAAAAGAAGCCCTGTGCAGAGAGTGCTAACATGGGGACACACACACACATTGCGCCAGGCTCCGGACACGTCCTGCCTGCCCTGCCCTGCCTGCCTTGCCCTGCCTCCCTGCCCTGCCTTGCCCTGCCTCCCTGCCCTGCCTTGCGTGCCTTGCCCTGCCTCCCTGCCCTGCCTCCCTGCCCTGCCTTGCCCTGCCTCGCCTCCCTGCCCTGCCCTGCCCTGCCTTGCCCTGCCTCCCTGCCTCCCTGCCCTGCCTCCCTGCCTTGCCTGCCCTGCCTTGCCTCCCTGGCTGCCCGGCGCCATGACCCCGAGCTGCCCAGGAGGGCAAGAGTCCTGTCCTCACCCAACGAGAAACCTCCTCCCTACTGTACAGACTCTTTTGTTTTTCCTCCTTTTTTTTTAACCTCTACCCCCTCACACACACCCCCACACACACACCCACACACACACACACCCACACACACACAAAAAGAGAAAAGATTTGGTGTGTGTCTGTGCGCTGTGTGGTGTTCCCCTCTTACCTGTGCGGTGGGTTTCTGCGCCTCTCTCCCCTCTCGGTCTATGTGTGCGCGTGTTTTGCGCTATACCTGAGAGCTGTAGCGG